TAATTTATGTTGAGTAAGGCAACAGCGCGAGCCCACCCCCAGCTTGCTTCGCAAGGAAGCCTCGGTAATGTTTCAAGTGGCTTGTCTGTTGTTAATTTACCCCGGTGGGGCCTTGATGGGGGTCTGTCTACCCGCCGCCACGCTCCACTCGTTACGATAAATCGGTCATTATCTGTACTACCTACGCGCCATGTAAGTGCCGCGACTTGGGACTATGCCGGCGCGGCGTGCCGTTGGAAATTTTCGATCCGCCTGGGAAGGCTGACAAGTCATCGTGTTATAGCGATTAATCGCGCAGCACGCCCGAGGAGGTAACCGTAAGGAGGATTTCTTGCAGTCGCGATGACAGTCACCACTGCTCTCGATTTGTCTCGGAATAAGTATAAAGTGAAACGTTAGAAATACACCTCCTTTTCAAAATTCTTTCGATTAACTCGCTATTCTTTCTCATATTTATAACTCCGTGCTCTAATTTATATAATTAGTTTACGCCGTGTCATCGCAGTCCTATTAAAAGACGAAATGTAACTTCATCTATTCGGCCATTGAGGTCGTCGCAATTTTTAACATTTTGACTCGACTGCTGTCCATACAGACGAAACGGTCGTAAACACATACGAAGCAAGAGGACGAACCCTTTTCCGCGTATCCTCGCACCCTTTCGCGCCGAGGCAGGCCGACTCGGGTGGAACATTAATATCGCGAAATGAAGCTCATTTGCATATAAATAAGGCGGTGGTGGGGCACGGCGACGGGGCGAGGGAAGCCAGGATGAACCACCCCGTTGCCTCCGCTGCACCCCCCTCCTTTTACCCCCCTTTAAACCCCCGAGCCTCGACTCCCAGGAACCCCACCCTGGACTAATTACACTTACAGACAAAGCGGCCTGAACCGAGGGGTCGAGCGGATTCTATCTCTTACTCTCTCCCTCTCTCTCTCTCTGTCTCCCCTCTATGACTATCTCCATGATTCTCTCTCTGCCAAACTGTCTTTGTCTATCTTTCTCTAGTTATCTCTGTTCTGTCCTTTCCGTATAGAGAGCAGACCCTCTGCCACTGTCTCGCTGAATTTCCACTCCCGATAACATCCTTTCGCAATGACCACGTGATAATTGCGACCCCCCGCAGGATTCGTTAGAATCCTTAATCGTGAAGGAAATTCATCGTACCTTCGCCTTTTTATGCCTTCTTAGAACGTGATTGAATGATTCCGTATAATTATTGACCTCGATCAATGATTGCGTGATAATTATTGACACGTAAATATAAACAAAATTTGCAAGATTTAAATTATACAGTCAGCTTTAAACTGTTTGAATATATTTACAAGGGATTATTTATTGCAAACAATATATAGCGACGGAATCACTCTATCCAATATAGTTTAAACGCTTGAAAAACAGTTTGTGAGAAACAAGTTGAACATAATCGTCGATTTTTTTTTAAATACATTTTATATCTAATTATATGCCTTAAGGTTTCATAACATTTTTTCTACTTCTTATTTGGCAGAATATCTGTAATTTTCATCTTACAATTAACTAACATATTAATATTGCCAAAATTGCGATTCGTAATACTCGGGTGAAAACTTGTAAAAACCTCTTTCGCTCATACTCGAGATTTTGACCAAGGCCCTGATTCTGTAACTTTTGCGCAAGTATAATATATTATTATGGTAAAAAAGCTGCGCGACGACATTATATATAACGATAACGACACTGTCGTTAAGAATTACAGAATAGGCGTACAGGAGCAAAACTTTCTCCTGCCAAAAAAAATCGCTCAATTTTCATAACGAGCTAACGGTACCCCGCTCGACAAATCGATCACCAGGGGCAGGAACAGAGGAGCCGCGGCTGAAGATGGGATGGAACCGGCACGGTGCGATGCGGCGCGGCGCCGCGTTTCAGAAAGAAACATAAAAATGCGTATTACCGATTCCGGAATACGGCCATTAGTCTGAAGTCAGCACGGCTATCGTTTATTAAGCGCAAACAGATATTAATGTATTTTTACACGCGCCCACCAGTTTTGTTCTGCCAGCCACTGCCGTCGCCACCGCCGACGCCGCGGCCGCCGACGCCGCCCGTCGCCGCCGACGCCAAACTACAGCGCGGTCCGCGCGGGGTCGAAGCCAAATCCAATTACTTTTATTCGGGCGAAATGAGTGCAGCTAAGTCATTAATACTAATCAATGGACCGGACTCGGACCAGCCAGCTAGAGCGCACACACAGGCCCGGGCGTTCCACAGGAATTACCCATAACTCAAACGGCTCGAAATGACTTTATTGCAAAAAACTTGCGCTTTGCTACCAGCCGCGCCGCTTCTCCTCGTATACGCATTGTTAGAGACCCCCGTGCCGATAAGTAATGTTTATTGTTGCATTTCCAACGACCAACCGAACGCTCTCCGCCCTCTCTTTTCTCTGCCCCGTGTATTTTTTTCGCGCCTCCCACTGGCCGCTCGCGTTCACCGTCCGCCCCGTTCGCGGGGGAGAGAGAGAGAGAGAGAGAGAGAGGGAGAGGATCCAGCTCGGTTTTTCGCATTAGCGAAATGGCTTATGGATGCGGGATAACGATTTTTTATCGATCATGTGACTGATTTCGCTCAGGGAATTTAAAACGTCCGCGTTGGCGAAACACCAGTGGCGTGGGTGATGTGACTTCTTTTGTTCGACGTGCTTGGATAAACCGACTGCCGTAATCTCTCGAGGCGCGTGAAGCGAGCAATCATAGGCGCTAATTACAAATTACAACCTTCTTGATGCTATCAATATTCATTTCATTCCTCCATAATAATACATATTTGAATCAAAAGAATTATAGAAATGTACAAAAATAGAAGAACTTTTGAAGTTATGATTGAGATTTGTTTACTTTCAAGAAGTTTATTTAATGCATTATTTTATTGAAACGTGTATAAATCGTATCTGTTTTTATATGATAAAGGAACAGTTGGCAAGTTATAGCAAAGTCGACGATCTCACACAAAATTGTTCTATGCACTGCGATGCTGTTGCACTGATTAATTTATGCGAAATAGTGGAAACCTGTAAACATGTGTTTTCTACGCCTGGCTGTATATCGCGTGCACTTTTACAAGCAAAATGGTCGAACCTGTGCATTCAACTAATCCCCCTCGCCTCGTCCATTTAATATAGGATGGCTATACTGGCGGTATAGCCGTTTACGAATTTGCGTGGAAAAAAAATTGAACTGCCGTACCCTCTGCGCCTCCTATTTTCGTTCGTTACCTATCGACCAGGCTTTATCTATTTTTTATGCAATGAAATGCCTCGACCAGCGACGCGCGCGGCCCATTGTGCGACTTTGACGAAAATTCAAGCCGGGATTACAAGCCGCACCCAGAGGATATCCCTTTTATAAAAAAAAAATGTCCAGCTGAATGTAGACTGAGATCCTTTGACGGTACAATTAATGCGATATTTACGGATTGGTTAAAAGTTTTATCCGATTTTTATTTTACAATCTTTTTTTTCTAAGAAAATAATGAAAAGGATATTTACAGTTTCGCAATCTGTACCTCGATTTTGTTGCTGTCTTAAATATCATTGATATATTTTTCGTTCACCCTACGTTGAGACTAACTTTCTTTGACATTTGCGTCAATACGTCTAGTCGGAGCAGTCGTACGTCTAAGATAAGGTGATAACTGCCGCGGAAGCTTTTCCAGGATTTATTCATAGGTCCAGTTATCCGTGCGGCAACTCTTTTTCTCGAATTACTCGAGTGTCGAAGCTCTAAAACGCTTAATCTGTATCCAACTATGGCGATACACGTTCCGGCATATTTCCATACCATTATGCAAAGAGGCCGCACCGGTAACATTACTCTCCACGGCACAGCCACCACCACCGTCGATATACACTCGTGGTGGTAAAGCATTACGGTATATATACTCCATCGATTTATTATAATTTAGATTGTCTTCTAAGAACCTCGACTACACGTGCACACGTACGGCACGCCTTAATGTGCCGGCGTTCGTTAATTATTCCGCTGGTATTCCGTAAATATGCATGAATTATATATCTGCAGGCACGAAAGCGGAGCAACCGCGGGGGGAGGGGGAACGCGTGATTAATATATATTTTTTTTCGCGCGGCAATTCTCGCCTTCCCGCATAATCCCTTCGTTTGTTGTTTGTCGATGAGAATTTTCGAAAGTCACGATGCACCGTATGTCGCGCGGTCCTGCCAAATTGGTATTGATTAAATCGGGACGGTCGGCTCGGCCGACCAAAGTTAATTCCAAAAATGTGTTATTGAGCGTGAATAACTAAATCACTTTGCCCGAGCGCATTGCTGGATTATGTTTATGGGCAAGGATCGGCATCGCGATAATACAGGCGAGCTCAATTTTCATTGCCACGCGTAAGTGATATTGAAATTAATATTCGACAGTGATCACCGTTCGTGTCGTAAGACTCATTGGTTTACGTGTGCATTATATTACAATAATTATCGTCATTAATTTACTGTCATTGTTTTTTCTCACCTCCACCGACCTGAAATGGAATATTTTAATGCGCATCATTTATGTGGACCGCGAATGATTATTAATCTATTTTCGACGTTAAACGCACCGCTCGCAATAAAAAGCATCGCACGTTAACGAACCACGCGCGTATAATTGAATGTTTCAGTCATTTTGGAAATGACTGTTAACTCGTATTAAAGCCTTTTGCGTCGCTGTGCTGTACGATTGATTTTCATGAGAGAGAATGATGCATAATGTTTCACATCGAAACTCCGAAAGATGTTTGATCTCTTACTAATCCGCGTGTTAGTTAAAATAATGCACATTTAATTAGCGTTATTATTATTATTGGACAGTAGTGTAATTCAATTCAACGTTCGATTCACGAAATTTCTCGCGACTATTGTCCGACCTCGTATAAATCGAAGGTGATTGAATTTCAATCTGGCGCGATTATATATCTATCATACATGTGAATGTATATGTATCTGTTACAGGACAGCGACAGGAGTAGCGCTGGGAGTCCCGAACCGGCGACAGGTGGTGGCGCGCTCCACGAACACCAAATGATGATAGATGACATAAAGAATTCACGGAAGAGACGACGGAGTCCGTCACCCGAGAATCTCCATCAAGCAAAACGCGCGGCGGTCGCGCAAGCTCACCTAAACGGGACAAGTAAGTGCGAAACTGTCCCTTTACGGAATACAAAACTTGATCGACTTCCACGATCCCGATATTAACATTGTTTCCTTACTATTGGAATTTTGTGCGCAGTGGCCGGCATGGTGACACTTCAGAATCTTCAGAATTTAGCGAATTTGCAAAATCTTCCACAAGTCGCGTCACTGGCCGCCGGTCTTCAGGGAATGACAGCGGGATTAACTAATAATCAACTGATCAATACTCCGTTGAATTTAACCGTCAGCTCGTCAGGTGAGAAGCATAAATCGAGTTCCTTGAGCGTGAATCTAAATAGATGTAAAGACGCGAGCGGTTATGCAAGATCAGAAAGGAGAATCAAGGATCAAGAATCGGATGATAAGAGTAATTTAACGCGGTGAAATCGTTAAATTTCATTCCCAGGCGGAACGGTATCAACAGCCTCGAGTACGACGGCGGCTTCCCACCTTTTGCCACCTAGCTCAGCCCCAATGGCAACGTTACCTCAGCTATTATCTCAACCGCAACCGGTCGCGATGCCTCAATTCATCCTAACGTCCGGTCAATTGGTTCAGGGCATTCAAGGGGCTCAGCTTCTTATCCCCACTTCGCAAGGTAAGCTACACTAGCACTCTACAATTTCAACATCGTTCGAAAACACGGATGATTTTCTTTCTCGCATATCTTATCGTCATAATATTGATCTCGATTGCTGGTGAACACAATCTACGAGATTACAATCAATCAAAATTCCATCGACGGTTGCCACGCATAAAATCATCGCGCGTCCGCTGAACGGAACACATAGCCCGGCGCTGTGCCAGCGCATAATGTTGTGCAATCAAGATGTGCCGATATATAATATAATATCGACTATCTCTGACCAGAGCTCGGACTAAGGCCGGTCCGTCGTCCATACTTAGTGGTCCTAGACTGCCTCGCCGAGCACAGGGCAAACTCTGCAACTAATTTCAATGTATAATTAACGTCTCACTACCCCTCTCCAACCTCACGAGTCCCACCCCATCCTGCCTCCTTTCTCGGGTCCGCCCTTCCTCCCCTCATACTCCTAACCCTAGCACTCACTGGCTGGACATCGCAGCTCCGCGGATTCGGCCGCTATTATATCGATTGCGGTCCGCGCTAACTTCGTTTCTACCAAGTTAGGTTCCTATTCTAGCAATCGAGAGAGAGAGAGAGAGAGAGAGAGAGAGAGAGAGAGAGAGAGAGAGAAAGAGAAAGGGTAGAAGAGAGAGAAAGAGGGAGAGATAGATAGAGATACAGCACGGAGGAGGGCGGAGGCAGAGGACGAGAGGCAGGAGAACTTTGGGATTCCGCCTAAGTGGATTGAAGTTCGTGGATATGGACCGGCCGCGGTAGGATGACGAGTTACGTGGCGGCAAATAATGTTTGCACTGCTTTTCGACTCAATCGATGGTAACTGACTAACGCTCGATTGGTCTCTGATAGACATCGAGTGTCGGCGAGGATGAGTTGAGGAGTGCTCGAGAGTGCGGTCAATAGGTTGTCGTTCATAGAAATTATTGTCCGCGCAGAATGTCCGTGGCTTTATTTAAAGTGATATCAGCCGTCCGAGATTTTATCGTACGAACGATTAAGACCCAAAAAGCGGCGAGGATTAAAATACACGAGGAGGTCATGTACGCCTTGATTCGTTGAAAATGGAAATAACACATCATCCGAATCGTTCTTTATATCAGATATAAATAAATCTCCGATATTTCTAAAAATGTTGAGATAAATTTTTCCTTGCTTCTAGATAGAATTCATGAACGCGTAAACGAAAAGCAAATATTATATTGCTGTCGCGAGTCACATGCCACATGTGCTCGGATAAACAAAATATTTTCAAATCATTACACTCCTGTCAGAGACCGCGAATCAACAATGAAAGTATTGGCAGCGCGTTATCGTTCGGTTTGAACTGCACGTTAATCGGATTGTCGGTTGACCTTACCTCAGAACGTGAAACTTTTATGGCTGTTCGGAATACGGGATTTGCTTAGCTTAGCTGTAGGTGGCAACACGGGTACGTACTCATGATCAGTAATCATATTAAGCGCGTGTACAGGGTAATCAGATTAGCGGAGCTGGAGGTAATCCCGAAACTATTCTAAGTATGATTAGGCGTCCTTCTCGCAGCGCAGCGCAGTCCAGTACCTGTACCCACTATTAAGATGACGATAATAGTTTGCCAACTACGCTAGCCTGCGAGGTTACCTGCCCTATGGGTTGCCTAATAATCCCTCTATGAGACTCTGATAACTTTACTACCCATCCTGGATCAACGACGCGTGGACTATGTTCATAATGGAAATGAAGTATCTATTGATTCGAAATAAGATCATATAACGTTTTCGAAAGCTATCACGTGATCAATTGCTTTCGTCGCCCTCGATCCTGAAACAGTCTCTCCAGAGGAACACATTTATTTTGAAAAAATTGTTTTTTATTCCTTAGGGATCGCTACCCAAACAATCTTGACTATACCAGTCAGTCACGTCACGAACAATCAAATGGTGAATTTGGCGCTTAGCAACGGACAGGTAGTTTCTACGACACTGGCGAATCTCCAATCTTTAGCTCAACCGCAGAATATGCTTAATACGCCTACAAGCAATGGTAAGTTCAACATTAATCTATTTATAAGATTTTCTTGTGTCATACGTTCGATGTAATCATAAGATGTTTAATATGTCCATCTTTGCGCGATGCATATGTAAATATGATTCTGTTTCTATGAAGCCATATAATATATTTCGTTAAATATATTTTAATACATTTAACTTGTATATGTTTATCATATAAGATTAAATTATTATTTTTATCCTTCTCATAAAATTGAACAAAATATTCACATATATAATATAAACGATTTTTTTTGCATCTGCTAAATCTGTAATGTCGCACGAATATCCAGTGTTGAATAATTAATTCTTTAAATACGGAATAGTTCAATGACGCGTTTTGTATAATCAGAACTCATTAATAAACATTGCAATCGGAGTGTTTTTTCGCGTGAATTTTAAGGCATCGAGTAATTTAGCAATATATAATTGAATATAGGACGAAAGTACTTATGATTTCCTCGAGCTTACGCGATATTATTTATTTATAAACATTAATTATTTCATAGGAAAATTATAACATTAGAAAAAAAATACGCTGAGCGCATGTATGCGCCCACAGTATTCGAAACGTTAAATATTGCATCTTCTTTATTAAATTCAAAATTTTTAATTAACGTTAATTTTTTACGATAACACATTTTATCAAAATGTCCGAATGCATTCAGTTAGTATACTGTCGTATTTACATTGCGATTAACGTAGCATCGGATGTCGTACTATGCGCGTTTACTTGTCCTTTTATCAGTTCCCACGAGCCCCAGCCTGGCATCGGGATTAGGACTGAACCCTGCCGCTTTACCGCATCTTCTGAGCAATAGCTCGGCGAGCCAACAACTTCTGAATGCGATGCAGCCTCAGCAACTGCTTCAGGCTGCCCAAGCGGCACAAGCGCAAGCGGCGCAGCAGGCTGTACAGGCCGTTCAGGCTTCTCAGCAACCACTTTTAACGACATCGCCTCAACAGCACAGCCACCGACACACCTCGCATATGAATCATTACACAGTACGTACCGACTCGCCCTTTTCAGTATCTTTCTTTCAAAAATATAAATAGTATAAATTTGTCGATCGGTAACACAAGAAATGTTAATTAACGAAACAAATATTTTACGATCTTTGCCATATAACTTGTTTTCTTGTAATAATTTGGCATTTAAATTAGTTACATTACAGCTTTATATAATTATGTAGTTGTTTTCGCAGATATAAAATAGCAAAATTCTTCATGTCATGCTATCAACAAAATTGATAGACATATCACTGCTTGTTAAAATAGCAATGTTTTTCTTTTACAATAAGCTTCATATTTTCGTGATATCGCGCATATAGTCGTATTGTTTCGAAAACCGCATGCATTTCACGTTTCATCTCACTAGTGGCCGTACGATACGTGTTATTCACTTTCTCAATAATTTCAACTATAACCGTTAGTGTAGTTAACCTTCCATCAACGAATAACACTGCCATATGAATCAAAGAGAATAAATACCTTCGCTCGCTCCTCTTTTCTATTTTTTTCTAACGATGTAAACGGATTTCTATCGGATCGCGATGCACAGTCGGACGTACAGTTCCCATTTCCGGCGCGGTAGTAGACCGCTGGCAAGATCAGCGAAACAACCAGAATAATTCCCAATACTCGAGTGATCTCGTTAAGAAAGTATTCCGTACCGATGGCATTCCTTCCACTAATTACACTCTAAAGTGTCTCGATTTGCGGTTCCGTCTCATTATTAAGTGCATAATTGACGTGGAAGAGGCGCGCTCTCGTCTCCGGTGAGCTAATCCGTCTCCGCTACCGTATTGTGTTCACAGCCGACGGAAAAACATCACAGGGAGAGACCGGAGCAGTCGTCGCCGTTGAACGAATCCGTGGTGTCCGCCGCATCCGCTTTGAACAGATTGGCCGCCAGCAACGGCGAGATTACCATCACGACGACGCACGGACCTGGCGGTGTCGGAGTAAAGGCTTCACCGAGCAGTATGCACAGTCCGAAGGAGGAGGAGGATGATCTCTTGAATGATTCTCCGAGTAAGACACAGTTTATTTTCATTTTTTCTTACGGGATGACGTTAACCCACGGGTCGAAAGTTGAAGCGATCTGTGTCAATTGGTTTTGCGGTACTTGACAGAGCATTTAAAACGATGTCCACATCGCGCGCGTAAATGATAATCGAGCTACGCCTTCGGGGTAGCCGTGTTACTCCTTGACAGCTTTTAATTACAATTTTCGCCAGGGACACCATCTTCCTATAACGCAATCACTTGCTTATACGAGGCACACTCGCTAATGTCGACAAGCGATTGCATGCATAATGATCACTTTTAAAGAAGCAATTACCACATGCAAACGCGCGCTCCTTATCTTTATCTTGCCAGGTTGTCACATTCTGATGATATTTTTGACAAGGTGTTAAACGCGACCGGCCGCACGCAAATCCTCAAGCGTACCTCTGATATAATTGAAGTACACATTAAAATCTTTCTAACGGTCGCTTAAACGACAACGTTTTCTCTCTGATAGGATTCACGAAGCATTACTGTCATCGCGGAAGGAACGATTTAATGTTTAATGTGTGTTTAACGAAACTAGAAAATAACATTTCGTACGCGCATCGATCGTAGAACGCTTGACAACTGTAATAGGATATCGTACGCTGGACTCATTACGGGGCATTAGTTCGTTCCTTACTGCCTTCTAGGAAGCCATAAAGATTCCAGCACCGCACGTAACCTCATGTTGGCTGACAATAATTTTAATAACTCACAATCATCGCGTGGACTGGCACTTCGTCATCCTGACGCGGTGGAATAATCATTCGGCGCGTGAAGCCTAACGATTCTCAATTGCCAGTGTCAGATGCGAGTATTATCTCATAAATATTTGCTTTTGTTAACTCTTCTCCGAGATAGAATTTCAAACACAGAAATTCTCAAGTAGAGATCAGGATGTAACATATCGGAGTAAAAATAGTTTTCTAATTTTTCTGTTGTTTAAAAATTTTTTTTTTACTCTATTTTGTATATAGCACGTACGAAAGTAATTAAATGATATATTTCAAATGTCGAGTTCTGATATTTGTATACACTTCGTTATTAAGCTTTAGATTAGATTATTAGCTATATCTCTTATTTATGCATCTTATTTATGCAATTTGTAATGCGTACAAAATTTAGAAATTATAGTCTAATAACCGCAATCACGGTCAAAGATTTTTTTAACTTTGTGAATCGAACAGCGGTGAACACTTCGCTCGCGATATCCTTATTCCTTTATTTATCATGTCATGGCCGAATCATATAACTTGCTCGCAGCATTTTGTTTGAAGCGCGCGAAGTACTCGGTGCCTTGATCAGAAATTAACGATCGTAGAAACACCGTCGCGCGGAAGAAGGACTTGCAGTTTATTGCGCGGCGCAGTAACCAGGCGAACTGGTCGAGCATGTGGGCATTTCTATTGCGTTCGTATACATTCGGGGTGACAGATTTACGAGAGAAATCGGTGGTAGCGCGAGCTGCTTTAACGAAGCCGCCTGATGTCATTAGGCAGCCTTCTCGCCGGAGTTTCGTTGCATTCCGACGAATCGATTGAAACGTGCGCTCGAATGACCGGCAGTGGATCACTAATGCTCAAAATGCACCATTAGAATCACCATAAAATTGACCACGCGCGATGCAAGAATCGCTTATCGCGTTAACCCTTGAACTACGAGTAGGTATTTAATCTCGTTCATGACCGGCTCAGTATTGTTTCCGCTATCAGTACGCGACGCGATTTGTATATCAAGAATTCGTCGATTTTTTTTGCATTCTATAGGATAGAGGAGTTTCAAGTATCTCCATTAAGCAAGGAAATTCAAAATAGGATTGAGAATATTGTTTCAAAGTATTTAAACGCTTAGATCATTGCTAATTTATTAACTTAGAATTAACTTATTGTTAGATATCAGATTTATCTTTTCACGAAACGATAAAAATCTTAATACCGATGACTTGTAACGATTTCTCATAGCTTTTTTATCTATTTGTGATAGGAATAGAACGAATTTTTATTATAGATCAGCCAACGATCAACGAGGCCACTAACAACGTAGTCGATGGAATCAATTTGGATGAGATCAAGGAGTTCGCCAAGGTCTTTAAGCTGCGCAGACTGTCTCTGGGTCTGACACAGACCCAAGTTGGTCAGGCTCTGAGTGTCACTGAGGGCCCCGCATACAGCCAAAGTGCCATATGCAGGTTAGTTATCGCTACATCGTCCTCCTCGCGTTCCGTCGAAACAGACATCGCTAATGAGAATTCAATAATATGGTAGAATGTAAAACGACAGTGTGCCAGGTCACTGGAAATGGCGTAGAAAGGGTTGAGATTTGTTCAGAGTAGCAAAAACAGATAGTTATCCGTGTTCGATGGCCTTGTGACAGCATTTTCCGTTAGGAATGAACGCCCGAACGTGAAGCTAAGAGAATCTCGAAGCAGTTTTACGTTTTTATTTCAGTTAATGTAACGTAATTTTATACAGCAATCTTCAATTACTGTATAAAATTATTTTCCCCTCGTTTTTCATTATTTATTATTTATCGCAACGTTTTAAATTCGTTCAAAGGAGTCTAATATAGCTTTCGCAGGTGCATTATCCAATTTTGAGGTGCCATGATAAACTCATTTATACCGTAATCCACCACGATGGTTCCTGATTTATGCTGCAATTTAATCTAAATCGAGTTATTAAAATTACTTGTAAAAAATAGAAACTACTTATGTGCAAAAATTAAAAAAGGAGATACTGAACGTGTAATACCCAATGCTTAAATTTTCGTAAACGTAGGGTTATCAGACTATTATCACTATTTATCTTCTTCGTTGTTTTCGATCGAGGGCGTCTTCGAAATGCGAATGGGAACCACCGTGGTAATGCCGGTAGCAAGCAAAGATGTTTATACCTCTTAGAAAATTCTTATCGTATCAACTAACATAAGCATTGGTGATTGTTCCCCAGTGCCCTGGCTACCCAGATGTACGCTGCCTCGCAGATTGCCTCTCAGCAGCAAGCTACGTACGTTCACCCCTCCATGCTACTTAATTTACCTAAAAATCGAAAACTCTAAAATCCTTTAAGAAACCGCAGTTATACCCAACAATGGAAAATCGGGCACGAATTTTCCGACGAATTTTCTTGAAAAAAAGGAGCTTTAAGAAAAAGTAAATCTAATTAGTCCATCGCATTAGTTTTGTCAAAGTCAACGATGCATATCGTGTGAAATAAGATGGTCCGTCTTCCTCTCATCCGCTTCTTTATTTGCGCTCGACTGATTTGCGATCAGTCCTCTCCCGCTTAGAACCGGCAGGCATATTTGGGTATAGCTGCACAAGCACTCTCACTAATTTCTAATTCCGTTCGGAAAAGAAATGCGAAAGGAGCACTTCTAAAATTAACTCTCTTCGAGCCAGGGCATTGGCAAACTTGGGCATGATGTCGCCAACGCGCTAAGAATAAAAGGATAGAACGAAGCCGAGGATTCGCGATTTTTATTGTCCGTCGAATCTTCGACGCTCCGAATTGTTTCACCGAGAGATTCGATCGGGATCGGATTCATTTCGCTCGCCCGCACAAGGAGTGTTTGCGCAGCGCGTTGGCAACATCATACACGGCATCACCAAACCTTAAAGCATGCACGCATTGTCAATGTCCTGTTATTGAATCAATGCATGCCTCTTAGTGCTCCTTTAGTGGGACAAAGACGTAAGGGCGAAAAGCAAATGTTCAGAGAAAATTTGAACCAGTTGAGTGTTTCTCCAAATGGTTTCAATATATTACTCAATATGCTACGCTAGAAAATTGAATATTTCATCTTTTTACGTCCTTGTCGTCTTTTCTCGACCTTCACTCTCTTTATCAATTTCCCGAGAAAAATAGATCAAGCCTTGTTCTTGGCTTTAGATTCGAAAAGCTGGACATTACACCGAAAAGCGCGCAGAAAATTAAGCCCGTTCTCGAGAGGTGGATGAAGGAGGCAGAAGAGAGGTGAGTAATACTCCTATGAACTTTAAGAATTATCGCACGAATACATCGTGAGAAAATGTTTTCCTTCAAAAAAAGGTGTATCAACACATATTTATGCCGGAAGAGTATCATAAATGCAACGTTCCCCTCGACGTGCCGTATAAACACTCTATAATTAATACAAATAACTAGAATTCTCCAATCAAGGAGAAAGAGAGAGAGAGAGAGAGAGAGAGAGAGATTTTCTGGATTGCAAATCAAGTCCTAACGTTGTATTTCTGATACATAATTATTTCGCAATCGTCCAATGCGGCCTCGACTTCGCGTCTGCGCGTCGGCGCGAGAGCGTGCGAACGCGTGCGTGCTAATTGGTAATTCGCTAATTGAATCCATCTGATTAATTGCGGATCCGTTTAATAAATATGTGGAATGTTAATTAGAATGGGAGAAACCGTTACCGCGCGCGCGATCGCGAGGCGGCTACTCGCTCGCGGCGGCAACGCGACCGTCGGTGGCTCCGGCTGTGACACGAAAGATACTACCGATCCTCCCTAAGAATCTCGGGGGCCCGAGTATCCACAAGGTGTAAATTTTACGAGACGATAAAATCTAATGAGCTTTATGCCGCGAGCTAATCAGGAATCGTAGTCGTGCTACGATTAAAACGCATCGCGATACGGTTTTGACATCAAAGCGTTAATGCGCTCTTCACGATTAACGTATTCGCGATTAACGCACGCTTCAGTGATTTTTGAAAAATAAGATTGGATATTAAGTTTATCACAGTTATATCTACGTTATTATTATTGACTTGTATTCCTGATTTTTATCTGTTTATCTTTATCGTAATCCCGTTAATCAAAAAAGGCTAAATATTATTCAGTTCGTATTCAGTTTTCCATTTAGCTTAAATGTGAATGCATAATTCTCTTTATGCAAGAGTATAAAAAAGATGTACATGCAATTTCAACTATTGCATTTAGCGCTAGATATAAGGAATATGAATATGAATATACACAGATCTGCAAAGTTTCGTGCCTACACTTGCAATTGCGAGAATAAGTCAACCAGAAGAAGAAATACGACTGCATTAAACAGCCGTGTTCATTCGCATAAAAGCGGAATGCTTGGCGATCATCCGCGGAGCCAAACGATAATAATCGCCACGCTTCGAGCCGTGAAAGAAAAACCGCGGCGCGGAAGCGCGGCGCGGAATAATCGAATCATTCGATGACCGAAGCGCGCGGTTACGGGCGCGCGGCACGGCCGTTTCTCTTTTCACGAGAGCAAGCCAGCGCAACAATGACCCATCCTGCATTCGCGCGGCGTAGAGCTAAGCGTCGACCGTGCGCCGGCCGCGTCCGGGAAAAATGAAAGCGGCTAGTTTATGCGGTGCACGTGCACGATTTATCTGCCGAGTAATTAAACTGTGGACTAATTAAAATCAGGTTTCTGATGTACCTCTCCCCCGGCGTCGCTCCTCCTACCTACAACGCCACCACCACCATCATCTCGCTCTTACCTGCAGCGGCATCGCGCGGAGCGGCGCGACGCGCTCTCTCTCTCTCTTTCTCTTTCTCTCTCTCTGTCATTCCTCCTACCTTTACGCAGCCTCCCAGTCCTCCTTCCTTCTGTTCCCGTCTTCCTTCGTCCTTTCGGCGTTTCGTTCAAACTTCTCCGCGCGTCTCCTTCTCCCACACCTGTAACGCAACAACGATGTGTAACACCCACGCACCGAGCTTACACGCAGCTTTCACGTTCCCTTGCGTATTAACTCACGTTTATTTCTCTCCTCTTTCTTCGCCTACCTCTTCCACCCCTTCTTGCGCTATCCCGGCGTTGCTTCTCCATTGCGCTCGCTCGCCGCGGTCACTATAACGCATACCATAACGACGACGTGACATTCAAACCCCCGTCGAATCGTCGCGTCGCGTCGCGTCGGTTCTTCGCGTTCTCGCCGACTTCTCCATTAGCATATTGTTTTCGCGAATTCGACGAAATATTACCGCGCGATGCTAATGGCCCGCCGTGTACTTTTTTCGACTCGACAGTTGGTCATTCGGAGTTAAATTAAAAACATAAATTTTGACCCGGCACCGTCGCACCGCGAGCGTACAGCTATGACCGTACACCGCCATATCGAGCTCCCCCTCGCGGCCGTACACCGTACCGCTTCTCATCGCTCACCCGGGAGTCCCAACGGAAGTTCTCCTGTTTACTGTCGCGGTCGCGAGCTTTTTCCATATCGCGCCTTGCACCGCGCCACCCCGATAATACTACCCGTCAAATGAAATTATGTCGACTGGCCGCGCGACGCCAAAAAAGTTTGCGTACTCTCGACTCGAGACTCTCGAGATCGGGTATTTTCTAATGTATCGATTTCTTTTAAGTCGTCTGACCAAAATCGATCTTAAGACGAAACGATATAAGGTCGTCAGATGATATATAATTGGGCATTGATTCTTCCATGATAAATTCATGGTTATTACAAATTAATATCTTGCATTAATTTAATTAGAAAATGGCTGAAAAATAATAAATTCATTGTTCGTCAATTTCATTGTTCGACATTCAATATAGAATCATTTAAAATTTTATATTAATCTCTGCTATTCTACTCAATCCCATTCCGTTCTACGGATAAAAATAACAAACTTAAGCAAACAGATGTAGAAATTTATGCTGGCGAATAAATCTTGCAAGAATATCTGATTTAATTTAAGAACTGTTCATGACTATAATATCTTTAATGCGCATAAAAAATGCAATATTAACATTTGATAATAACAAAAATGCGAGATAAGATCGAAGCGCTTGCTTGTGCGTCTTCTTAATATTTATAAGAATTGTGAAAACGGACAATGTTTGAACATAAAAATTACCCGAGATTCTTTCGATGAACTTGGATGACGAATGAAATAAAAGCTCGAGTTTAAAAGCGCCGCGGCTGTTTGTTCGCTAATTTTATTTGACTCGACGCCGACACCGTCGCCGCCGCCGCCGCCACCGCGAGTTCTGTTTCGCGATACGTGGAGTAAGTTTCGACTCGTGAATCAACCCGGGTGTGTACTCGGGGAAAAATCCAATACCGGACGGGATATTTGCGACCGAACGTGTCCGAGCACGAATATCGTGACGCCGGTGATTTCCTTTTTTAATCAGTATCCTATTTCGCGCTAACGTAATTACGAACGTGCAAAACAGTAAACAGAATTATTTTTTCATATTGGATATATAACAATATTTCATAAACCACAGGATAAATTTTGAATTCGACGTAGACATCCCACGGACGTAATTAATTATTGTAAAAACGCAACGATTAACCGGTCGGACTTTTAAATGGGATCCTATTTCGCGATTCATAATCATATACAGCAAGCGGTATATATATTTTTTCATGAAAGTATAAACGCGCGCGGTAATGTTTAATATAAGCGCCGGTGATACAATCTTCCGAATTTGAGCAAGAGTAGTGCATCTGATTCCAGGTACAAGAGCGGCGTTAATCATCTGACGGACTTCATCGGGGTCGAACCGAGCAAGAAGCGGAAACGGCGGACTTCCTTTACGCCCCAGGCATTGGAACTGCTGAACGCACATTTTGACAGGAACACTCATCCTACTGGTTAGTTTCCGCCTACGTCTATCTGCTATGATTAAGCGCAATGATCTCGCTATTTAGAGAAGCTAACTAATTCTTTTTCGGAGCTATCTCGTACATTTTCACACCCTGGAAGTTTCTATTCTTTTTTTTTTTACAGGTAACGAAATCACAACTTTAGCGCATCGATTAGGATACGATAGGGAAGTGATAAGAATCTGGTTCTGCAATAAGAGACAAGCTCTGAAGAATACGGTGCGGATGATGTCGAAGGGCGTTGTATAGGGAAGGACTACGTCTACCGAGCAATCGGGCAACATGTGAGAAAAGCTTCAAACTACGGACGACGAAGAGCACGTTTCGTGAAATTTTCCAATCTCGCGTTTTCCTCTAGCGTAAATAAAACAGTTCTGATGCGAGAACAAGTTTTCGTGGTTTGTTACGGAATAAGTAAGGAAAAAAAAAGCGTTTACTCGATAGAAAGCCACATTTATCAAATTCGCTCCGGCACGGAAAGATCGTTCTAGATCGAAGCGAAGTCCTTCGAATATTGTGATCGCAGGTGTATACGACATCTATATATGTAAATAGCTTTAATCTACGAATATGTGATGTATACATGAGTCGAATATCGAAAATTGATAATCTGAAATCGTTGTCTCTCATTTGGTACCAATCCGTCGCGCGCTTCCAATTTTCATAGATATATATCCATCGGAAAACACTGACTAACTGATCCAGTTTCGAGTTTCGAACGAATGGGCTATCGGCAATTGGTAAGCATTAACGAACCGATGGACGTAAATGCCTCGACGATCAAAATTACGCGAGTATCAGTTTGTCAGCAAGCAACTACAGAAAAATCGCTTCTAGGCTTCTCTAATTAATTACACAGTTGCTTGATTGCAACACTTGTCGGGGCACGTACGTTTTTCGGTCTATCAAAACCAGGCAGAAAGATATGTAAATCGTCGCACGAATAATTAAAAATTTAGCTACCTTTAAAACGGTTACTTACAAGGATGCTAGCACGTAAGTGGCGAAACGTTTAAACAGCTACGTACAATTGATTCCTAATTAACTGGCGGAACAATCGAAAATGCACTTAAAATGGAAAGGATGGCAATCTTCCGCGCGCAGTAAAAACTGCGACTATGTCCGATCGGGGGGGGGGAAGGTATCCTGAAATATCATTGTCGCTCGTTGAGTTGCGCAAATAAAAATATCGCTTAGATAACAAATACAAAATAAAATCATCGTCTCTATTGATTATAATATCATCCCTTGCATACGTATACACTGTTATAACGAGCACGATAATATTTCTATTATAGTTTCGGTAATAAATCGGTCGACAGTTTTTGGTGAGCGCGAGATGTGTAAAAATTACAAGTGTATCTAGAAATCAATGAAATTCCTTTAGCGACTAAATAATGCAATAACGTCTCTGAAAGTATGCTATAAACGATTATATACCACATGCCGCTCCTGAAGTTATATTTAATCCTGTAGGAAAAGAAAGAAAGAGAGAGAGAGAGAGAGAAAAGGAGAGAGAGAGAGAGAGAGAGAGAGAGAAAAAGAGAGAAAAAGACACAGTTAGAGACAGACAAGATTCGAGTTTCTGCAAAACTAGTCCGTGATAATCTGCCATGTAAGACGTATACGTGTTATAAACGAGCACGCATCCTCCGTTCCTATACATATATGCGATCCGCTTATTCGCTGAATAACGATAAAGATCGAACGAAAACTTCGATTTTATCAGAGCTCGATTTCGATCTGCGGGATATTTGAACGAACATAATTCTTCGATCGCGAAATACGCTTCTGTATCGGCTGCTTTCAATTTTGATTTCGTATTTACAATTGCGCGAAGAGAAAAAAAAATCTGAAAGCACTCGAATAATTCCTTTGAGTATGCGTACGGTAAAAAATATTACAGACGCATGATTTTGAAATCGAAGAATTATTTATGCATTATTATGTCTCTCTTAACAAAAAAAAAATCATAATCGTTAATAAATACGTGGCCATGTACAATTGTCTCACACATTATAGTGACTGTTAGACGTTTGATTTGCATTATGTTGACACAATCATTTAATAACAAGCGATCGACAACCCGCAGTCGTTTTCACGCGTAAAAGGATATTTAAACGAAGCTCTTAAAATACGGTTTTCTTAATACTTAGCAGACGCGTACGTTTAATGGGTAAGAACTGTGCATAAAATGTACTTCATCCTCTTTATAATGGGCTATTCATTACGATAATATTGTGAAATCTCTAACTTGACGAGTAGCTAGGGGCGCAAGGGTAGCATGTACATATTACGATATACCTAGACATTGTAATATTATAATTAACTTTTATTATCATAGCTATAAAATAGCTGAATTCATGCAAAGAAAATTTACATGGTTAAAGAAAATAATAAATTTCTAAAAGTAAATAATATTTTAAGGTTTTACTTTTAAGCCTGAGACGAGCAAAGTGATCTGTTCCTAAAATGTACTATATAAATAAAAGAGAGTATGAAAGGCGCGAAGAAGATGAAGTGAGGGTTGGAAAAAAGATATATGAGGGAGTAAATCGCAAAATTCAAAATTTTTTATTAAGAGGAGTGGGATGTGTATGTTATCCTTTTTGATAAAAGAGCGAAAATGTTTGTACAGAAATATTCCGGTTATTAAATTTTGTTATATGAGCGAGTAAGGGAAAGGGAGAGAAAAAGAGAGAAAGAGAGAGAGAGAGAGAAAGAGAAAGAGCAGAGCGTCGAAAAATCCGCGGTAGTGATAAAAATAAAAACGCGAAGACGGTTTAAGAATTATGTGTATTTTCTTCGTGAAATTGAAATATTCAAATAGATCCTTACGAAAATATAAACATGAGTATTACAAAAAAATGTGAATTGTATTCGTGAGTGTCATATTAAGGAAGATAGATCCACGGGCGAATGTTTTATAGCAGTTTCCAGCTGAATTGCTCGCCTTGTCCGGTAATTTTGGTAAATTAAAAATAGACTAAACAAGAACGGGTAAATACTTCATAACCGCGTGTAATAAAGAAGAAATGAATACCCCTAAAACGAGCCACGTTGAGACACGAAAAAGAGTTACAAATCAATAAGAGGAAACTGCTCATGAAACATTGCCCAGCGAAACCAAAGTTCCTACTACGTTTTATAAAGTATATAACTGAACTGCAGAACTTGAATTGTAAATACGATGAATGCAAAGTTAAGCTAATAATCACGATACAATCAATTTAAAGATGCTAAACTACAATTCGCCGATCAATTGATTCGACATTACCGCTATCGGAAAACATCGGTTCGACTTTCGACCATACGAATATCATGCAACTCGGTAATCTGCCTTCGAAGGCGGGAATCAATTGATCTCGGCAACGAAATAAGCACACAGTCGGCAATTAAGCACATAAGTATACAATTAAACTAAGCAGCCGTAGCTTTAGCTTGAATGTTAGCACCTAGGCACATGATGTAACATTAAATTACGTATTTAAAATGAAGGACAAGAATCTTAGCCGTTAAGCGAATACCTGTGTAAAATTTAGTAGGTGTCCACAAAAATAAAATAAAAACATATATTGTGGTACAAATAACAAAAAGTCGTACCTATGACTCTTCGCGATTAAGACATTTGATTTTCAAATAAGTAACCATGTACCGTATGTATGTTTTTTGTAATTTAATTTGCATGGCATGTAACGTAAAATCGGTTCTAACTTATCAAGCTAAACATTTTCATATAAAACTCATTTTCTCGATTTTATTTTAAAGAATACGTTTCTTTCTTATTTTAATAGTTTCAGGCACATCTATAATAGGCTTTGCAATTTATTTCTTATGTATTTTAATGACAGACTTAACATTAAGTGAACGATGATTGAGAAGGATTTCAGGCTCGTTTTAGAAACTTTTTATCACACATATTTTTGTATTAAAAGTTTTTTTATATTTTCGGCACTTTGTGGTAATGTTAAAAGATGAAAGTTTCGATTTTATCGATTAATCTCTTTATTAGCCAACTCAAAATCAGGTTCATTGTCAGAAACAGACTCTGTCCGCCCGAAAACCTGACCACTCGATAACACCGTAACCGACCATTCCAACGCACAGTATTCCGATTAAAAAATACAGTTTCGTATAAATGCACAAATATGAGTACATGTGCGTCATTGAGACAATATACCTCCACATGAAGAAAATAAAGATTGCTGCTTCTTCTCGACCAGGAAATAATATACTACATAATTCTGAAAATCGCAAGCAAGTGGTCGTTAATTGTAAAATATTAAATTATTGCAAGTGTATATTGATTAAGATAATTTCTTTCGAGAAGGTTACAAAGATAAAACTTTGTTATACTATTGGTTGGTATGATACCATCAGTAGAGATATTCGTCTATGAGTACGATTTTACGTACAACAAATAAATTAGGAAATTCCACTTAATGCTTACCTCACAATAATTTGATTAATTGTTTTATTAATTATTGATTAATCAATATGCGACATTAACATTGCGTGAAACACCGTGGCTTGCACCGTGGCAAGCCACAGTTGATTTTTTGTATTTTACAGTTTTCTTCTAACGTTTCAACACTTAAAAAAAATTGCAACAGTTCCGGCCTTAAGTATAGAATATCACTTTTTAAAACCTTATAAAGATGATACATGAATTTTTATAGATTTTTTTGTGACAAAAACGCTTTAAAAAACCCCTTAAACTTAAAAAGACTCGGAAACATCGGTATATGTATTAAGTTTATTTTTTATATTATACGTAAATACATATAATATATATTATACATATATATATATGTGTATATATATATATATATATATATATATATATATATATGTTTACATTATTATAGTACATGAATTAAATGACATAACGTTGATTAAATCAATATAATTTAAAAAACTTTATGTTTTAAATTTTGAATTAATTCTAACATTCAATTATCACTTAACATTAATCTGCTTTAAAATTATCATGCAAGTAGAAATGATAGATATAGCATTGATATGACTTTTAATAATCTATTTACTGTGGATTTATATACAAAAGATTTTTTTAATTGGAATGGCAACCCACGCATCGTTTCCACTTGTGTCACGGTATTCATCCTGATACTCAGGCTTATCTGTCTCAACGGAAGTTTTCCAATTCCGCAAAGTCAAGACTCGGTTCTTTCCTAATTATCGGCATGTATATAACTTCGTGTTATTTAAGCACGGTGAATAAAACGATACTGGAGATAAATTGCGAATAAGCCGGACGATTATATATGGTTAGAACTACTCACTTACACTCACCTCCAGGTAGGTATTATATGTCGACCTTTATAAATACTTTTATAAATCGTACTTGTCGATAATTATATTTACATGTTATTATCATGGCAACTTATTCGGTAAATAGTCATAAATATAAATGTCGTAATTAATGTAAATTTATCAAATCCGCTTATGTACGTCGCGTGGTAAATCCATTGCACCGTGTACCTATTTTAACTCTCCGTGTGCATATGTTCTTTCCCAGTGCATACGTGGGTCTGTCACGTTTGACGCTATTTTTCCCGTTCTTAAAGTATTTTAAAAAGTCTACAAAATATCTGTCTACATTGTAGTTGACGATTTTATAGTCATTTTGACATTAAACATCGTTTTTATTTAATATTTTATGACAGGCTTGCAAGTTTTACAGTTACCAGCAGCTATCATTTTGGCTCGGACGCCGTAAACCCACGTATGCACACGGAGGGTTAAGGTTTTACTTTTAAGCCTGAGACAAGTAAAGTGACCTGTTTTTAAAATATATATTAATAAAAGGCGTGAAGAAGGTGAAGTGAGGGTTGGAAAAAGATATATGACCGAGTAAATCACAAAATTCAAAATTTTTTATTAAAAGGGGTGGGATGTGTAGGTTATCCTTTTTGATAAAAGAGCGAAAATGTTTGTACAGAAATATTCCGGTTATTAAATTTTGTTACATGAGCGAGAAACGGAGAGGGAGAGAAAGAGCAGAGCGTTGAAAGATCCATGGTAGTGATAAAAATAAAAACGCGAAGACGGTTTATTTAAGAATTATGTGTATTTCCTTCGTGAAATTGAAATATTCAAATAGATCCTTACGAAAATATAGACATGATTAAATATTACAAAAAATGTGAATTGTATTCGTGAGTGTCATATTAAGGAAAATAGATCCACGGACAAATGTTTCATAGCAGTTTTTATCTGAATTGCTGGCCGTGTCCGGTAATTTTTGTAAATTAAAAATAAATTAAATAAAAACGGATAAATACTTCATAATCATAAGTGTAATAAAGAAGAAATGAATACCCCTAAAACGAGCCGAGACACGAAAAAGAATTACAAATCAATAAGAGGAAACTGCACATGAAACATTGCCCAGCGAAACCAAAGTTCCTACTACGTTTTATAAAGTATATAACTGAACTGCAGAACTTGAATTGTAAATACGATAAATGCAATAAAGTTAAGCTAATAATCACGATACAATCAATTTAAAAATGCTAAACTTATACAATTCGCCGATCAATTAATTCGACATTACCGCTATCGGAAAACGTTGGTCGACTATACAAAAATCACGCAACTCAGTAATCTGCCTTCGAAGGCGGGAATCAATTGAGCTCGGTAACGAAATAGAAATAAGCACAAGTCGGCAATTAAGCACATAAGTAGGTATACAATTAAATTAAACAGCCGTAGCTTTAGCTTTAGCTTGAATGTTAGCACCTAGGCATTATGTAACATTAAGTTACGTATTTAAAATAAAAGATAAAAATATTAGCCGTTAAACTAATATCTGTGTAAAAAGGTGTCCACAAAAATAAAATAAAAACATATATTGTACAATAGTACAAATAGCAAAAAGTAGTTCCTATGACTCTTCGCGATTAAGATTTTTTTTTTTTTAGATGAATAACTATATATCATATGTATGTTTTCTTTTTGTAATTCAATTTGCATATAACGTAAAATCGGTTCTAAGCTATCAAATTAGACTTTTTCTTAACCCTCATCTTCTCGATTTTATTTTAAAGAATACGCATTCTTTCTTATTTTAGTAATTTCAGGTACATCTAGTAGACTGCAATTTATTTCTTATGTATTTTAATGACTTATTATTAAGCAAACAATGATTAAGAAACATTTTAGGCGCGTTTCAAAAACTTTTTATCAAATATATTTTTATATTAAAAAATTTTTATATTTTTGGCACTTTGTGGTAATATTAAAAGATGAAAATTTTGACAATTTTTTACAATTTTCTATAATTCCGTCAACTGAAAAAGATACATACCTACTGCTTTTATATTTTATCGATTAATCTCTCTATCAGCCATCAACTCAAAATCAGGCTTGTTGTCAGAAATGGCTGTGTCCGCCCGAATGCCTGACCGCTCGATAACACCGTAACCAACCATTCCAACGCACAGTATTCCGATTAATAGATACAGTTTCATATAAGTGCACAAATATGGGCTATAAACGTATGTTATCACTGAACCAGTAGACTCCCACAAACGAAAATTAGAGAAAGCTGCTTCTTCTCGACCAGGAAATAATATACCACTTAATGCTGAAAATCGCAAATAAGTAATTGTTAATTGCAATATATTAAATTATCGTAAGTGTATTCATTAATATAATTTTCATTAGAAAACCTCACAAAGAAAACTTCGTTGTACTATTAGTTGGTATAATACCATCAGTGGAGATATTCGTCTGTCGGTACGATTTTATGCACAACAAATAAATTAGGAAATTCCACTTAATGCTTACCACACAATAATTTTTGCAATTATTAACAATGCGCGATATATAAACATTACGTATAAAATTATTGATCAATAACAAGCGATTGAAAATTGGATTTATATTTGTTTCTGCGGTTTTTCTTACCATTGACTTGTACCAGCCAGACCGAATCGCACACACCCCATAAACCTGACAGCAGAAAGAAGATAATACCCTGTTCTGGCGTTGGTTTCCACTGTAACATGTAGATGAAAATACTTAAGTGCAAACAAAAAGCAAAAATCATCACGGGCGTTCTTCCAGTCAACTTCACTACGGCTCCTGTAGCGAGTGCAGCTATGGCATTTGTGATACCGAAACATATCATCACGTAACCAATATTACTAATCCCCCAAGCACAGGAAACGAACGACTGTAATAAAAATAAAATATACATTAACGCTTTCTAATATAAATTCTCCTCTTATCATAAATATCAACAAAAATCTTATTCAGGAAATTGTTTTCAGTCTCATATATAGCTTACTAACTGCGTTATAATCGGCAAATAAAAACGCTTGCTCGGCCCCAATAAATAACGTTATCGGCAATATTAAAAGTTGGTTCTTCTCTTTCAATAGTTTTAATGTCACGGCCAAGAGCTTGAATCCAGACGTTCCTTTCACCGAGCGGGCTCTGTTTCTATCGTATCTATAAAATGAGAATTCTAGCTTCAAGAAATTTCTTACACAGTATACACTACAACTCGTATTATAATACAAATATACAATTCGTTTTATTTAAATATATAATATAAATATTTTATAATATATCTGACAATTATAATATAATATAAATATTTTATAATATATCTGACAATTTTACAACCACGAAGTATAAACGCAAGATTGGATACCTGGATAAGGAATCGACGGCAAACGCAATTATTGCAACAGCTAATATCATACAGCCTAAGTAAATCCCAGCAATGAGGTGTATTCGTTCCACCGGAGGTGGCTGCAGATTTGGATTTTCGTTTTCTGGAGACAGCCCACAGAAATTTGCCCCGCAAGTTTCGGCCACAACGCTACTGTTCAGAGTAACGTTCGTAACGACCGTGTCGATTCCGTACGAAAGAACTGCAGTCGTAGGAAAAACATTAATAAAATTAATTAAGATAATAATTGATTACTAATAATAGTAATAATAATGAAATCATTTCTGCGAAAATATATTTGTCACGGGGAATTTGCAGCCGCATTAAAAAACTGTAAGCGTAACACGTTACAAGAATAGAGATACTGTTGATTATCGTGCCGATTATTCTTCTGTCGTCTGTCCAATAAGCATAAGAAATATGTGTTTCAATAAAACGAAATATGGCCATTAGAATGCCCGACCAAACTCTAGTTACTGCGTAGCTTCCGTTCGTTGTTTTACAATCTCGTAATTCGCGGCGACAGGCAACTTAATTTCGTTTTCATCGGCACTCGCGTTTTTATAGCTTAGCAGCGACGCATTTATACGCGCTTCCGCAAAGATTGCACAGACTGCAGATAAAGTTTTTGTTGCATTACTTTGTTCCAGTTCGTGATTCCGTAATCTCGTTTCATAATTTTGTCTTAAACATGAAAATTACACAATTGTAACAAAAATGTATTTTATCTGAGAAGCTTAAACGAAAAGATACTACGTTATCACGTTTTTTATTTTAAAAAGTTGTAAAAAGTTTATCTTCCTTTCTATACATTATTATTTTGATAGACCAGTCATAGATTTCATAGTTTTCTTTGTATCTTAATAAAAGCAGTCAAGGATTGAATTGCATCATACGAGAAGCACAAATAACATAACATGACTAATAAATAAAATTTAATAATTGTGAGTTTTTGTAATTATCAAGAGACACGGTAGTGTCTCACGCCAAGTACACGCGGAGCGAGACCGACCGTGACTCTTTTACGCGATTTACATATACGAGACACGACTAGGCATATTGTAATTATTTACATATCTGGGCAATAAAATTCTTATATAGTTCATTGATATTCACAATGATAACGATTCTATTTTATAGCTATAAGATACTGCAAAACAATTATAGATTCATTCTTACGTCATCAAAATTAACATTTGCAAACGAAATGTTCAAGTCGAAAACAGACATGAATAATATGCTAATAACAATTTTCTCAACACGTTTAATCCCTGAAATATAAATTTGATCGTCGCATATGTCCGTAACAGCGACCCACCTGCTGAAGATATAAGATTCCCCCACACCTGTGCCATTTGATAAAACATGAAGAAGAGACCGAAGAATCTCGTAACAAGGGCATCCGCTGCTATATCTGAAACGGTCGAGTAAGCTTCTGCTGCCACAGTTAAATAAGTACATTTTGCGCACCAAAGCGGTCCACCGCCTAATCCGACCAATAATCCAGCGGGAATCATAGTGTAAAATTTGGGATAAAACTGCGAGGCTATGAAAGGCATATAAGCCAATATAGAAAGTGACATTGTCCACTTGCATCCTAACCAACTGGAACACAGAATCATATATTTCATTCAAGAATTATATATTATCCTTCATTAATTAAATATTAAATCTATTTATATCCAAATTAATTAATTAAAAAATTAATTAATTAATTAATTAAGTTGTTTCTTAAAGAAAAAAACATATTAAAAGTATTCAAATAATTATAAAGATTAATGTAATAATCTTAAAACATTAATATATTGAACGGCATATTAAAGGCTTTTCGTTTTAGACGTTGACTAGGAAGATGTCATACTAAATCCTAGCGCAGATACCTAGATATGTTCGTTTCACTCTTGTCTAATGCTGGAACCCGCGGGGGTTCCATGTAACGTAATTCCGGGCCAAGGTGAAAACGACAACGCGTAATAAAGTTTAGTGCTGTGGGACTGCGTGCAAAACTGTAGCTGTATGTTTCACATATATGGGAAACACATCGAACGTTTCCGGTGTCTACGATGATTGACGATATACATCTCTCAAAAACTTTCTATTCATTCTACGACAACAAGTAAAGGCAGTCAGATCTGACGACAGTTTTCCATTTACCTCGAGATGATGCAAACCATTTATCACGGTAATCATATAGTAGTTGCCGAAAAATATTGCTGAATTGCTATTGCGTCTCATACCGAGTTTTACCTTACACGAAATTATAATTACGCACCAAACGATTCGAATATATAAACAAAATTACTTGAACTTTACCTTATGATTAAGGCGGGTAGAAAAATATTGCTGAAGAGCAGACTGCCATAAATCGCCGACAACGTAAATGTGCCTAGCGATTGATCTGCATTGATCGAACTCTGTAAGTTTGCGGCTCCCATGAAGGCAGTAAAAAGCACCATAAAAGCGCAACCGATCGCTAGAATGTTCTTCATAATTCGCCATCGTTCCGATGGTTCGAAATTCGGAGTCGGCGCTTTCAAAAATTGGCCTGGCATCTCAGTTTTATTAAGTGTCATGACTCAATCAATGTACGACATTAATTTTTGTTGGATATTCAATATCAATTTCGCCGGTCAATGAATTCACTTGTAACTATGAGTGACTTGTTGTGTATTTTGTTTGTCCTTTAAAAAATAAAAATATAGAAATGAATTTATAAAAAATATTGCTTTACTATCGCTAATATTTTTGCCTATTCGTAGTGACAAAAATTGTAACTGTAGGTGAGATTTAACTTCGAGCTTTTCAACTGTAACGTACATTTTAAATCGACTGAATTAATGGACACCGTTATATCGGTCGCGATTTTCATCGCGGAGGATATCGGCGAATGATTATAGACTGAAATTAAAACTGAAACTGAATATTCACATTTATTCTCATAATGGTCACCAGCCACGTGATTTGCGTAAAGCCAATAACGATTTCAAGGTAATCAGCGAACGAGAGAACGGTATTATAACATACGACGAATACATTGTTTTATGACACAAATGCTTCATTTTCACGCTTTTTGCTACTAATATTATAATGTCGGCTTTGATCCGTATAGCGCTTCACGTAGGAATGCGACAACAAAACTCCCAATCCGAGAGGAATTGCATAACCGTTTTCTGTTCGGCGCGGCGTAGTGACGAGATACACGGTTACCCCAGCATCGATAGGCAATCTGTCCTTGGGAATAGGTATCCTTGCTCCTTTCACGCACCTTAATCGCACCTGATACAATTTCCATTCCGACCGTGCACGTCGCTTGGAATATGTAACATGCCGATCGACTGGAACCCTACTGTCACACAAAAATAGATGCACACGACAACGTGACGTAAAACAAGTTTATCGACGAAATGTCGAGCAACATTGCGCAAATAGAATTTGATGAAAAACTGTAATTATAGAAATACAAGATTGTTGATTGCTGTGCGTACGAACATTTATCGAATAAATAAATATATATGCAATAGATGTATATATATATATGTTCTGATATATAAAAGTTAATTTTATTAATTTTTTAATCTATTAATATATGTGCAAAAATAAATTTGCAGAATGGCTAGTATTATGTTGCAAATTAATTGGATTAATACAAGATTTACTTAATGAATCTCTGCTCGTTTCGCTTGAAACTCGAATATTGCAGTACTGCAGTACTGCAGTATGAATAATTGCTTTGCGAACAGATAAATACTCGATAATTGTTTTAAGAACAGGAAACCTGATACCGAGTGAACAAGGAAGCTGATGTGCGTGCTTAATTAAAATTCATGATATAACTCGTAGACATGGAATATTATAGCAGTTATTCTATTTAGACATTCACTTGGGAAAAACAAGTCACGTTTAATAGATTCTGATTAGATCTCATGCTAAGTGATGTTTAAAGCTGCTTGTAACACCACTTTCAGCTAGAAATCACGACGTTGACCCCGACTACTGCGAATGCTATATTAATTAAATAATAAGCGCGGGATTACTATTATAACGGTATGTAGTGTATCGACTATAAATCCGCTATATCGAAGAGTAATAGTCTACGAAAATGAGGACACCCTCGCATATGCGTCCGTCGTACCTATGTCGTGCAGTTCAATTAGCCCCTGGCACATCACTTGTCATTTTCACTCTACGACGACCGCCGCACACAAGTATGTAACTCTATTGGATGGGGCTTACAGGACAGCAATATAATGATGAAATATTTTACGCCTGACATAAAGTAGAAACATCAAGCAGTCAGATTGCAATAATTCGCACGAAAACTTAACATCTTCTATCGAAAAACCCGTTCGTAAATTGTGAAAAATGTACGATTTATACGTATTTTGCATACCGGTTTTGAACGCCTCCACGCTGATTACTTGATTATCGTAAGTATAATTGATTTATGTCCCAAGACATCCTAACAAATAGTCACTTATATTTTATATTATAAACATTATTTTATGTATAATAATTTTTTAGATAATAAATGTGATATTTTTCGAATAACATGCAGAAAGAATTTGTGATGTAAAATGTACGTATATAATCTTTTCTCTCTTGTAAAACTATTAATTAAAAAGGGAAAAATTTTTATAAATTTATATATTAAAAAATAACACATATTTTTTAAATTCTATAAAATTATATATGTCTTAAGTTTATACTTACATATAATATATATTATATATTTACATTATTGCAAATACATAAATTAAATGACATAACGTGTATTAAATTAATATAATTTAAAAAGCTTTGTGTTTTTTAAATTTTGACTTAATTCTCACATTCAATTATCACTTATAACATTAGCTTCCTCTAAAATCATCATACAAGATGATAGACATAGCACTGATGTCTGACTTTTAACAATCTATTTACTGAGGATTTTATATACAAAGGATATTTAATTGAAATGACAACCCACGCACCGTTTCCTCTTGTATCACAGTGTTCATTCTTATACCTGGGCTTACCTGTCTCAACCGAGGTTTTCCAATTCCACGAAGTCAAGACTCGGTTTTTTCCTTATTGTCGGCATGTATACAACTTCGCGTTATTTAAGCACGGCGAATAAAACGATACTGGAGATAAATCGCGAATGAGCCGAACGATCAGATGGTTAGCCATTCCCCACTTACACCCACCTCCAAGTAGGTACGATATATCGACGGCCGGAACCCTGCGCTAGTAGGGATCATGATGTTTATCGAATTGATGTCGGCTCTCTGCGTCCGAGGCACGTGTCACGCCATCGTATCTTAATCGTAAAGACTTTAAGCTATGCAATCACTTCGATTAACCATCGCGTCCGTTATCCGCGGTTACGGTCTCATTGATCTGTGCGTGATCCGTGGCATGAGCTGTTCTGTAACGACTGAGGTATCTATAGTAATCTCGAAACAGTGACATTTATGTTTCTCAACAAACAGACGGAACAGAACGTCTCAACCCATAAAAGATCCTGCAAACAGTCGACCGTATCTCACGGATATCTGTCAAGCATGACGCTGAAATGGGAATTGAAACTGAACGAAGAGAAAACATAGGACGGTATATAATCGAACGCTATAAATTGTACGAAAGATCAAATCAGAAAGTAAAACATATTCAAGCTAGAAATGTGTGAAGTTCAGATTCTGCCACTGACATCGGGAGCATCAATCTGACCTAAATTAGATTTAATCGATGGAACATAATCCACTGCAATTCTCTCTCTCTCTGATTTGATGAAGTTGATTTCGGTGATGCGCAATAGACGACACTCTGATGGCAGCTTTGACCAGAAACGGATACACCGACTGCCTAAATGACAATCAGCATATGAGCTGGAAACCATACGCACGAGGGACATACAGAAATTATAGTAATTAATTATGACCGTGCTGTTGCAACGGACGCGAACAGAATACCAATGGGCACCAACTTCATCTGGTCTAGCTTCTCATTGATTTTCATAACAGTCTGAGTTAATAAAACTATCAAACTTCTTAATATAGACTCAGAGTTAAAATTTTTATAAGAAAAAAATCTTTCTAAAGCTGGGTAAGATATTGTATTTGGCCAATAAAATTTTCTCACTTAAATAGAGCGGAAATTCACGATGGGGAAGGCTAACGAATTTCGCTTAAGTATATGTTCATCAATCGTTAGGATTAATCGTGGATCATTCTATCAAACTCAGAGAAAGAACCTGTTTTTCACACACTTACGATTCCATCTATTACTTATCGTCTACTTTTGCTATGTTGTAGTTAGCGTTAGAACAATAAACAATCGTTTATTATGACTAAATGTATTATAATTGTGTGTGTTACGATTATATGTATTAATGAAAAAGAACCACGAAAAGTAGGGAATATAATATAAAAAAATAATGTACCTCTTTAATAGTAATTTTTTAGAATTGTACTTATTGCTTTTATAAATCGCACTTGTCGATAATTATATTTACATGTTATTATCATGACAACTTGTACGGTAATTAGTCGTAATTAATGTCATAATTAATGTCGCAATTAATGTAAATATATAAAATCCGCTTATGTACGTCGCGTCGTAAATCCATTGCATATATTCACGCTACTCTAAACACAACCTCCATCGAAACTGTTTCAGAATATTCGACAGAAATGTCTGGCACACTGGACATCGAAATGGAAATAACAAACAAAGCTTCGTAGTCAAAGTGTGGAAAGCTTTACAAAGAGCAGTTTGTAAATAAAATGTTTCTCTAGGCACGTTTCACAATAAACTTATCCAAAATCGTCAAAGTGCTCTACATGAACTTCATTCTACGTTTACGTCGCAATCGAAATGCGATTTTCACCTTTGATAAGATCAATTTTGTTACAAAATTCTATATGCTGTAGATTGCAAAGGAGTCGCAATTTAAAACTTTTTGCGCTTCGCTTAACTTTATATTTCATTTCTAATTTACCTTTTTACTATACATGTCATTTTGTGGGATTTAGTAAATATATTACAGAAATTATTATTTCGCTTTTAAAAATAATATCACTGTTTACAACAATTGAAATTCAAATTACAAAACGTTAATTAAATTTTCATTTTTCTGATCGTATATAGTGAAATAAAGCAAGAGAAATGCAAACAAACATATTCTCTTCGATATAAAACGGTGTTTGAAAAAGCAACAGAAAATTTAGCTAAATAGAATATTTTACTAGTTGAGTTTTTATATAGTGTTAATTTCTTTCCCGATTTATATTTGTTCCAATAAAAAGGGTGATTTATATGGCACAATCTACGTGGAAATTCTAGTAAAAAGTGCAGTATCTTTCAGTTTTATGACTAAAAATGTAAAGCACACACTTTTTGCTACTATTTATATCCGCAAATGAATTACGACCGCACCTACGTCCAGTTTCATCCACTGACATAAAGCATAAAACAAGTTGATACCACATTTCAACTAAATCATATATAAAGCCTGTAATTTCCTGATGCACATAGCAATCATATAAATCCTGTATTGATTTTTTTTCGAATCGTCTTTAGAATTTATTGCTCTCCAAATAATTTAACTTATCTTCCGGATGTCAATCAAGTTCCATATAAAATTGAAATGTATAAATATTGAGAACAATATTTCAAATAATAATTTGTTCTGAATTTGTAAATTGAAACTCGTTTATTTAAATTACTAGTATAAGTTCACGTTTAATTGCTAGTATCAGAGAAAATAAATTTTCAAACAGGTGGTTTTATACGTGTGCGCAAAATGATGACGATGATATTTCTATAAACGTCGCTATGAAAAATAAATTGTAAAATAATCGTAACAATAAATATTTTGAATTATTTCGGGATACATCATGTCAGCGTGTCAGCGCTAAGACACTTCAATTACAAGGGTAAGAGAGCATACTGACAGATATACGCTGCGGCGTATTTCGTGGCATGCATATGTTGCATATCAACCGGAATTGCGCGTCCGAGGGCGAGTCTCGCTCCACTGAGGCCCGTAACATTCGTTAACAGCGAACGGGAGGATAGAGACCATGACTGCGTTGTATATCTTGGAGACGTATAGAAGCAATTACAAAAGCAGTGCAAGAATAATTACGTTGCGTTCAATAATTTCAGGTTTCGACGTTTTGCTTGGTCTAATACAAAAAATGTATACGTTCTATCTTTTCCATTCTTTGTCTCTTATCTTATTCTATTATCACGACGAAAGAAGTAAACCATACTTTAATCAAATGCAATCTTTTTTCTTGAAAACATGGTTAATAAATTTCGAGGAAATTCAAAGCATTGTCAGAGCTATTTTAAAATATTGATTGTTGTTAAATTCGATGTTCTTGAGATATGAAAGAGAGCTTAAATTTATTTCGTTTTATTTTATTCGATATTCTTGCATAATTATAATTAAGATTTAGTATATAACGATATAATGATGCAATCAAAGATAAAATTACGCGCAATAGAATAATTATGGTTAGAATATTAATATTCCAGTAAAGGCAATTACGAAGCTCCTTGAATTATCGATTTTCTACCAAATCTGAGCAACGTTCTTCAACAGGATGTATCGTGGTGCATTTTCGAGGTCTGCAATAATTTTGCTTCGCTGAACTCGCGATACTCGTATAATATTCACTCGCTTTGTGCGAGAGATAAAGATGGTAACCGGAAAACAATAAACGACAAGGCAACTCGATTTTCGAGCATTCTTGACATAACGATGTAAATAGTGCTCATATCACCAGCATTTATCAATCTATATATTTTATACTTTATTTTATTTTATAAACTAAGTAATTAATTATACGCATAATGGATTTATTTATATGTATTCTCTATAATTCTTGACCTCTTAAAGAGACAGATCATAAAGTTTAAATTTAAAATTCTTCCCAGTGCGGAGAGATCGATTATGACAAAAATAACAACATCGTTAATCATCGTAAACAGTGTCACTTGATTAAATTTACTGGGTTTGCAGTCTGTTTTTGTATACTTATTCTTATACATTTTCACAATTTTCGATTTTTACTAACAGTCTTTTGCGTTGTAATGTGAGGCTAAAAACATTCTGATCAACAATCGAGTTCGAGACACCTCTGAGATATCTCTAGAATAGAAATTTTTTCGTTACACTCAAAATAAATGGTCAAAACATTGGAATTTCAAATGAATGGCATTATGAAAGTCAAAGCACGAAGAAGAGAAAACTTTGCGTTCTTTTTGTTTTTATATTGGCGCCGTCGGAATACATATGTCGAAATTACGCAATGATTGCTTTTGGAAAATATCATCATACATGGAGAAATAGTGAAATTTCATAAATACATAAATTTATAACAACTTTAAAAATTACCGGTGAACATTGTCGTGAATAACTCAGATCTAAAAATCGCGTATTTTATATTTAAACAAAGCATAATACATATATGTATGTGTATATTGTATGTGTATATTATGTGATACGACAAATGTTTCATATTACAATAAGAAAATAAAAAGAAAAAAAGACGTCAGAAGAAACATGTATATAGTCACACGCGTAAAACGACATGCGAAAAATGTGTTCATTTTATGAAAAGTATCTTTTTTTAGTTTCTTCGTTGCAGTCGTTACAGACACACGTTCTTAAACTGGGCGAGGAGAATATAATTAATTTATGCTAATCAACAATTAATACATAAAAAATAATATAATTTCTTTTTTAGTTTTCCTCATTAAAACATTATCTAGAGAAAGAGAGTATCTCGGCGGTATTTTTAAAACACATTTATGTCGCTCCGTTGCATCGTATTTTACATCTAAAAACAGTTTCCGGGGTTTGCTTTTAAAAATGCATATATACCGCGCACGTAATACGGTCTGGATAATAAACTCATGAACGCAAGTTGGAACAAACAATTGTCGCACGAGATTACCATCATCAATGTAACATCTAACAATCACGTGCCCTACAAAATCAAGGTATAAATTTAGCATTAAAGCGTATACGTGACTAACAAGGTTTTCCCCGTTTGTCGTGAAATTTAAACAGCTGCCCCACATCCCGTTTAACGTAGTCGATAATTGGCGCTTGTATTTCGCCCTCTATTTCCTTCTAGCAA